AAGCGCCCGCGGCCCTTCCTCGCGTCTGCTCCTGCAGCTCTGGCCGGGGAGGCCCCTCTCCACGGCCTCCTCCCCAAGACCCGGGGATGATGGGCGAGGCCTCAGTCGGGGCAGTTCAGTGGGCCTCGCGTTCAAGGAAACGTGGAGATCCCGGCCTCCGTTTGACACGCAGACACGCACCGCGTTGCATGTCCCTATACCGAGGGCGTACCGACTGGTTGTGGGAAAGTCAGAGAGGGATGCGCGTTTGCGTCCATAGCTACTTTTGGGTCGGCATCGGACTTCAAGAGTAGACCCGCTGAGACGAAGGGACTTGAGCGGGCTGCCGTGTCGGCCGCGTCCCTCTCGGCTTCAGTAGACTTACTCCGAGCCCGGCTGAATCCGGATCGAGCCCCTCCACGCAGGGACGTGGGACAAAGCCGGGGCTCCCCGATTTCCGGCCGGCGAAGGATCGCGCCCCCTTTCCGCCCGCTCCCCCACGGTCCTCGGGGGAAGCTGCCGAGAGATGCCGGGGCGACCTCCCTCTCGGCTGGCCTCGGGAAGGCCCCACAGCGAGGGCGAGCCACCGGTGCCCCCGCTCGGCTCCACCCGGGAGTCGCGGGACTGTGCAGGGAGCGGTCTCGGAAGGACGCCTCAGCCTCGCTTTATTTAAGGGGCAGGGGCGGGAAGGAGCCCTTCCCGCAGCCGGCGGGGCGAGTCTCGGCTGCGCGGCGCACACGGCAGCCTCATTAACCCCAGCGGCTCGTTGGTTTAATGATCGCGGGTCTTCGGCCAGGGGACTAGTCTAGAGGGAAGGTCTCGCGAGGGGTGGGGAGGGGGTCCGGGTCTGGCCCCCGGGTTCGCACGGCACGACAGCCCAGCCTTTTGGCGCCTGGGCCGGGGCGCCCACGAGGGCCCGGCCGAGCGCCGCATCCTCGCCGCCGCCGGGGAGCGCCCCGCCGGCCGCGGGGGGCGCGGGTCCCGGGGCGCCTCCTTCGGCCCCGCGCCTTAGGCTGCTGATTGGCTGGCGGAGCTTGCCCTACTCTCTTGCTGAGCCAAACTTCTGATTTATTTGCCCCCCCTCGCCCCCCCGCGAGGAGGAGAGCGTGGCGGAGGTTAACTGGAAAAGAACAAGCGCGGCGGCGAAGGGTTGAGGATCGGGGGCAGCACGCCGGCCGGGCTAGAAGCCGCGGGGCGGAAGGGGGGCTTGGGGACCCCCGGGCAGGGTCGGGCGCAAGGGGCTACAAACGGGGGAAGGCGGGGGGCCGTGGGGGGGGGGCGCCAGGCCCGAGCGCAACAAAAGGCAGCGGGAGAATTCCTGGTCGCGGGAGACGCCGGGAAGCTGGTGCGCGCTTCCTCGGAAGGAAGAGCCGCGGGCTGCGCCGCACGGGAAGCGCGGCGGGGTCGCCCCTTTGGGCGAGGGGCGCGCGAAATCACGGAGCGAGCGACTGTTTGGCTGGGGGAGAACGGACCCAGCCGTTCTTTTCCCGTGTGTGCGGAGGGGGAGCTTGGCGCGACAGCGCCGAGCCTCTTCTAGATAAGCGGGGCGGGGGGTCCTTCTGCACGGCGCGGCTCCCCCGACTTCCCCTTCTCCGCACTCATCGCCTTCGTCCCGCGTCTGTTTTCGTTTTTCTACCGGGGCCTATTCCTTTTCTTCCCTCTTTTCCGCCCCTCTTTTCTTTTTTCCTCCTCCGTCCAGCTCCTGTGTTTTCCCCCTCGATTCCCCCCGCGACCACAACTCTGTGGGGCCTTGTCGACTGCGGCAGGGCCTGGATCCAGGAAAGCGGGTGCGGGGCCGCCGCTCCATCGACCCATTTCCAGGATCTGTCGGCCGTTGCGCGCTGCTCTAGGAAGGTCTCCCGGCTGCAAGCCAGCGGCCGTCCGCCTGGCTCGACCCTTTCCTCGTGCCTCTGTCCGCAGTCCGGGGACATCGCGGGCTTTTGGCCCCCAAACTCTCCGCTCCGGAGCCTCTTTTCTCGCTGCAGGGCGGCGTGGACTATTCCACCCTTTTCGCAGCGAGGAAACCCGGAATCGCGGCGCGCGTCAATTTCACCTCCGCGCCGAGAGACGTCTCGTCTCCTCCGCGCCTCTTTGCTTCCCCGAAACCGCACCGGATAAAAGAGGGAAGCCGCCGCCGCTTCCCTGCCGGCTCTTCCAGGTCGGGCCCGCGGGTTGAATCCGCTCGGACTCCCGCCCCAAAACCCAACCAAGGCGCCGCAGGGGCTTTAGGTCCCTTTCGGGCCGAGCGCGGCCCAGGTCACTCGTTGCGCCGGTGCTTCTGAGGCGCGAAGCTCCTGGCCCCACGGCCCCGCCGTCCGGCTCGGCTTCCTCTGGAGGAAGCCCATGTCCGCATTCAGATCCAGACACCGCATCTGCCCCCAGAAACGACACCCCGCAGGGCGCCGGCGGTCACGCCGACTCTCGCCCGCGGCTCCTTCCAGCACCGGCACCCCCGGCAAAAGTTCCCCCCCCGCCCGCTCATGCCAGCGCCTGGGACTGGGGGGCTTGAAATAGGGAAACACGTAGGTGAGATTTCCCGGGGCAGCGGCGCCGAATACACAGCCCGGCGGGGAACCGACAGCGGGGAAGCCACGGCCCGACCCCGCGCCCAGGGGATGCGAGACGGCCAGGGGTGTTTCGCAGCCCCTTCCCGATCCGCAGCCCGAAGGAAGCCCCCGGCCAGGGGGCCATGCCAGGGTGGAGGCGCGAACGCACAGCTCCCCCAGCCTGCGCCTAAAGACCGCCAGCCAGCCAGCCCTGAAGCCGGCTCTTCAGACGCGCGCAGGAACACGCCGCCAGGGCTTACCTGGACGTGGCCCTCACCTCCTCAACGCGGCTTACTCCTGAGGAAGCTCGCGCAGATCTGCGCCGCTCGTTCCCCGCCGTTCGTGGGCGGAAGAAACCCGTTCTCGCACCGACATTTATGTACTTGGAGGATCGGAGGAATTTGGACCCCGGCACCGGGAAAATATAAGGCTAACAGTGGTTCTCTTTTAAAGGTTTTTTTTTAAATTGTTTTCAGATTCTCGAAGAACTCCGTTGTAAAATGGGGGTTATTTTGGGGGGGAAAGGCGATTTGTCTAAAGGCTTCGCTCCAGTCAAACAGAGGTGACGCGCGATGGATTTCATGAACGGGGAACGCGCAACTCGTTCGATTTAACGTGTATTATATTCTAGAACTATATCATTACATTGTAAAATAGCAAATGTGGAATATTTGTTTCACGCACACCTATTTCTGCGATCCTCGCACAAGCCCGTTTCTTTTATTTCCCTTCGCAGGCCACCGTTTCGCCAAATCGAAACGTGCCGCCTCTTTCTTTTGCTCTTCCTTTCTTAATTTGCTTTTTTAAAAACTGCAACATTCGCTTATCTGAGGATTTGATTTCGCCATTTTCCAATAAGTGGCATTTCGTATTACTGTGTTTTGTAATGAAAAAAAAAATTAGAAGAATACAAGCGACTTATTTTAATATGGTTCAAGCCACAAAATAATATTTTACGGGGGATGCAGTCCTAAATGCTCTTAAGAGCGAATAAGCCCATCCAACACACCGAAATTTACTTCTAAGGAAGCCCTCCTTTGCTCTGTTTTTACCTTTCAAGAAGCCCCATTGAATTTAGTAGCTCCTGCTCCTGAGTAGACCATGGCTAGGACTATTTTTTTTTTAAGTAACATTACACCAGTAAACCAAGTTAGTATATTAATTTCTTTGACAAGGGACCCTTTTCCTTTTCAAGGTCAGATTTAGTTTCCGTAAAACCTGTCTTCGATCGCCAGCTAGCCCCTAAAACAGCGCAAAACCAACCCAGCGATGTTGCTCCTGGCAAGGAAAGCAGCGTGATGCGTGCGATCCCAACCAGCTCTACTCGGGAGCAAGTCCCACTGCCTTCGATGGGGCTTTGGGTGGCAGCCGTGAAACTGCGACCCCGTTTGCCCTTACCTGGGAGTAAGAGACACTGAAGTCAATAGCGCTTGCTGCTGAGTAGATATACCTAGGGCTGCACCCCGACGGCTAGTCAGAAAACAAGGAAGGACAAGACCTGTCGGTTTCCCTTCCACAAATACGTGCTGCCTGCTCCTCTCCCGGCTCTCCCTCCCTGCCCTCCTTCTTTGTTTTGGGGGGCGCGGCGAGGGGACGGGGGGGGCTGGCTCTGAGGCCGGGGGTGACTTTGCGGGAAGGAACCGGGTCATCCCGGAAAGCGTCCGCAGAGAGGGATCCCGGCACGAACTTCGGGAGTTGGGAAAGTTTGCCCGTCCTTCGCGCGTGCCTGCGGAGAGGAGGCAGGGCGGCGCGTATTTGGGTCGCGTCTCCCCCCCCCCCGCTGGCCCGCTTAAGGCCAGGCCGCTGGTGGGAAGTGCCTGGCAGGTGACAAAGGGCCACCCTACGGATCGGTGGCCCCGTTTCCCACCTTCGCACCGTGCTCGGCGCTGTAGGAAAACCACCAGACCTTTGTATAAAGGACTTATCTATACTGTCCAGCTTTCTTCCTCTGCCTGGGCCCCCTGAAATATCGCCCCGCCTGCCTGCCTGCCTCCTCCTCCCACCCATCTTTTGGTCCCAATTCCGCCACACCTAGCCCCCACCAGACATCCGACCAAGGGAAGGACAAAAATACTTTGCACATGCCCGGAGGCCCGCTCGTTGCCTCGGGCGCCCTACTACACCATCGCCCCCAGCTCTGCCGTTTGAAAACAGATTCCCCGGACCGTGGAGGCCTGTCTGCAGCCCCCCAATAGCGGGGTCTCTCTCCACTGGCACCCCGCCCCCCCAGCCACAGGCTCGCCACCTAACTTACAGGGCGGGGGCGCTGGGAGAACAAGTTTGAAGGACGGGGACTTTAACTCGGGGGAAGCGCGGGAGCGAAACCCTCGCCTGGACGGTGATGGGGGCGTGGGAGTGATCCTACGGGCACCGCGGGGGCGGGGGCCTCGCGGTGGTCCTGCGGGGGGGGGGCGCGCCGCGGGGCTCCCACACCTGTCGTGCTGGGGGGGGGGCCCGGGGCGCTCGCGGACTCACCTGAAGAAGTCGTTCTTGCAGTAGAGTTTCCCTTCCCGCGAGAAGCACTTCTCGGTCAAGTTGCATTTACATTCGCAGCACTGGACGCACTTGACGTGCCAAGCCCGGTCCAGGACGTTCAGGAGGAAGCGGTCCAGGATGGGCCTTTTGCAGCCGGCGCAGTGCACCATTGTCTTTGGCGCGCGTCGGGGTGGGGGGCTCGTGTTCTGGGGGGAGGCGGGCGGGCGGGGGCGGGCGGGCGCCTCTCCCAGCCCTCGCAGGGCGCCGCCGGAGAGGTCCGAGGCCGCGGGGCGGGCGCGCGGGGGGGCTCCCCCCTCCTGCTTCTGGGGGGGCTCCGCGTCGCCGCAGGCCGTCTGAAGAGGCTGCGGGTCGTCGCCGACGCGCCCCGGCGGGGCCGCTCCAGTCGAGAGGCAAAGTTGTCCTCGGCGCGCCTCGGGGACCCCTCGGTTAGTTCTTCCAGTGGCGCCCAGTCCCCCAGCGCGCAGGCGAGGCCGGCCGGCGATCGCGGGACCAAGACGAAGCCAGTCTCGTGGATCACAGCGCTGCCCCTTCGCCCCTCCGCGGGGAGCGAGGCTCCTGCCCCCCTCCCGAAAGCGAGCGAACGAAAATTAAGGAGTCGGGAACCAACCGGGCGCCGGGGCTGGAAGGGCCGCTTCTGAGTACGGATCGGAAAAGCGATCGGCGCCGAGGCTTGTCAATGCGTACCGAGCGCGGAAAACAAAAGACGAAAAACCTGCCAGGTTTGAGGTAGAAGTCAGAGGTCAAAGTGCAATTAAAAAAAAAATCCCTTCCCCAAGTCAAGCAATTTTTCTAACTGGACAATTAAAAAACGAACGGTTGCGATGCGCGCGCGCCTTTGGGTGGTCAGCCGTGCCCCTGGCTTCAGAAACAGAGGCGGGGGGCGATAGGAGGAAAGACGGGAGCTGATGCCTGGGACGTAAATAGAAATATGTTCATATTAACAGTCATCTGGGAGGGCCTTCCTCTGGCATCTATTCCTCGGGTGAGGCTCCTACCCCCAGGTTTTTGTTTTGTTTCTGTTTTTTAAGGGGGAAGTCTTAAAGAGAGCGGCTCAAAGCGGGTGCTCGCCCACCTCCCTTGTATTTAAAAAAAAAAAAGAAAATCCTCAGCGATGGTGGAAGGAGAAACCCCAAAATTGCCTTACCCTACTGCTTCATGAGTCCGCGAGTCAAAAACTCTCCCGCCGTGCCCATTGGGCGTGCTGGCCGGCTTTGTTCCGTCTTCCGGGGCTCGGCAAGGACATCGAGCTGGGGGAGCCCACGCGGATCGGATCAAAAACGGCCGCCCCCTCCTCGCCTCGCCCTCGGCTTGGCTCGCTTCTGCCGCCCTGCTCCGCCCTAAGTCGGGCTCCGGCTGGGGCCGGCGGAGGGGGCGACGCGTGGCGGCTCTGGAGAGGGGGTCGCGCCCCTGTGCCCACACATAGGGTCCCCCTGGCGGGCGGGCGGGCTGCCTCCTTGCCTGCCTGCCTGGCTTCCTTGCCTGCCTGCCTGGCTTCCTTGCCTGCCTCCTTGCCTGCCTGCCTGCCTGCGCTCGCCGCTCGCCGCTCTGCCTCCGGCCGAGACCCCGCTTGGCCCGCGGCCGCCCGCGCTCGGGAGCCTTATGCAGCGACCCCCCGCGTCACGGCCCGCGCCAGCCAATCCGCGCCGCGCTCGCCCCTGCGCGCCGCCGCCTCCGCGCGGCATCCCACTCCGAGCCCGGATGGTCCAGCGCGGACCCCGCGCAGGGGGGAGCCGGAGGGAGCGGCCCATTGTCGACCCAGCCGGTAGGTTTGGCGATCCCCCCGCCCCACTTTGGGGGAAAACGATGATAATAATAATAATGGAGCCGGCGGCGTCTGGGGGGAAAGGGGCCTGCTTTGTCTCTTAGGAAAGCCAAAACATAGAAGAGGGCGAGCCCCCGCCGGCGAAGTTTTTAGGTGGAGGGCATCGGGCTGGGGGAAAGTTTCGGGGGAGGCTGCTGGCTGGGAGGGGCTGGGTGTCAAAATTTACACCCGTCTGAAAGGGGTCGAGACGGGCAGGTCGCGCTGGAACGGGGCGGGGGGGGGGTTACTCCCTTCGCCTGAAGTTGTTTAGCCCCACAGTTGAGGTCCTAGCAGTTTTGTTTTTTTATTTTTTAGGGGAGAAGGGAGACGTGCGCGGGTATTTATACAGCGTGTGCGCTTTCCCTCTTTGCCTTTTCCGAGGAGTTTTCCTCCAATGGGGTGCATCCAAAATTATCTTAACTGAGCTCTCCTTCACTCGAGCGGACTCGCTCAGACGCTGGACGGAATCCGCCGGATGAGAGGCACGTTTCACCAGATCTTCCTGAAAGCGGGAGTGATTAATCTGTCCGTGGGCTTTAGCGAGATGGGAACAGAGAGACCAACTTCGTGGGCTATGCAGAGGCGACTTGGGAGCCGGAAAAGAGTTTAGGTGCGGGAAAGAAGTCCCAGCCTAGTTTGAGACCTACCATTTTCGTTCATTTACAAAATGGAAATGGCGCGTTTTTAAGTTTGCGGTGGGGGGAACGGGGGGGGGAGAGAGAGATGTGGATCCGTCTGTGTGCCATGTTAATGGGAGCCTCTTGATGTCTAGAGCCTTGCAGTGCTTGGAAGTGCCCGACGCGCCCACTTGGCTGCTGATTTGCTCCCTGGGAAGCCTGCCCTCTCGCAGCCAGCTCTGGAGGCCCTGATCCCCCCCTCCTTACCCGGGAGCAGGCCTCACTGAACTCCATGGAGCTTGCTTCCTAGTAGCTCAGGAGACAGTTGCCTGGAGATTAGCTGAAGGGCCAACCGGATGTTTTATTGGACTGTCTACAAGGGACTCCAGGAAAGAGGGAAGATTTTATTTTATTTTATTTTATTTTATTTTATTTTATTTTATTTTATTTTATGTGGTGGTTGGACAGGGGCGGTGGCGGTAGGAGAGACAGCTGAGGGTGCTGTTCAGTTTCCTGGACCCGGTATATTTTTAACCTCGACTTCTGGTTTAATATCGGTGCCTTGTGTAAGATCACCTGACTTAATTTCCTTTTCTTTCTTTTTATTGGGGAGGCGCCTTTCTGTAAAAATAACCTCTGAGGTCAGACCTGGAGAGGCCACGATCCTGCACCAGTTTATCTGGGAGCCAGCCCGGGTTGAAGCCGGTGGGGCTTTGCTGTAAAATAGATCTGAGTGAATGGGTGATTTGTGTGTGTGTGTGAAAAATGCCCCCTTTTTCGTTTGCTGTATTTACAGCCATTTGGAGGGGGGGGTTCTGCTTTTTGAGGTGGCTTAGTCCGAGGGACTGATGCAGAAAAGAAGGAGAAAAAGATTTACTGATCACTGAATCCACATGGCACCTGTTGACAATGGGGGGCAATGTCCTTCTAGCCCCCCATTTTTCTCCCCAAGAGTAGGAAGTATCACCACTGCAAGCATCTTTTTGTCCCCAGAGCTGCATCGCTCACCCCTTTCAGATCAGCGCCTTTCTGAAAAATTCAGGCATAATTGGCCAGAGGCTCCAACTTCTAAGAAAACATCAGTCTGGACGGGGAGTGTTGTTTGTTTGTTTGTTTGTTTGTTTGTTTGTTTGTTTTAAAGGGGGAAGAGAAATGTAAATATTTAGCCCCCAGCGCGGCTCGAACAGGCTCTTTCTGCTTTGCACAACATCAACTGCGGGGATGCGGTTTGTGAAATTCACGTGCAGCGAGATATTTGCGCTTTCTCCACTCGGAGAACAGGAACCGTGACGCCAGTAAATAAACTAATAATTGATGCATCAGGACGTCCACCTCTATTGGCTACGAAACCACCCTTCATTCCATCAAATTATGATTATTCCTGTTATTAAGGAGTGTCGAGCCGACTTGTTTCTGCTTGCTTTAGATTTTGTTTTTAACGTGATTATTCTTGGAGGCAGATCCACGAATTCGGTTTTCTCTCTTCTCTTCTGTAATTTCTCCTATTTTCAAAGCGGCATCTAAACGTTTTCTTACAAATCGCGGTTTCTCCAGAATTGGCCACTAAAAAGGACCCCAGCTCTGTTCTGCGAACGGAGGAAGTGGGCGGCTTCGGGACTGACGGAAGAGGGTTTAGGACCGGGGGTGGGGGACCGTTTTCCTACCGGGGGATTTTTCTGGAGGGACAGCAAATCCGTGAAGTGACATTACAAAAAAGAAAAGCAACGAACGGGGTGAGAGATTTTGGGGGGCGGCAGCCAGCGGGGCTGCCTACTTTCTTTGTGCAGAAATCACTCCGGCCAGAAAGTTCAAGGAGTTGCCCCTCCGAGCTCAGACCGATTCCAGAGGTGTAGACGCAAAGCAGGCGGACACGCACCTTCCTGATCCGCTTCCACTTCCCGCACATTTTTAAAAATCCCTTGAATACTCGTCCCCGCGCCGACTTTTCCTGCAGGCCTCTAATTTCATCCTCACTCTTCCTAAAACGGACGAATCTTTCTTTGCCTTACTTAAGCCAACGGACCCCCATGCAACCGCCTCCAGCCGGATTCGCCACCCAATTAATCCGGAGCGAAGCCTGTTTGTACATCCCCATTCCAAACACGTCGCTGGGGGAACAGAGTCCGCCAGCTTCCACTCGCCAAACCTCGCCGGAATGGGCTTCTTTCCAAATCACGACTCTGCATGCATAAGTGTGGCGCGATCCGCAAGCTAGTTAAGCTGAGATCCTTGGACGCGAGAGCGGGGGGTGGGGGTTGCTGGGATGGGATGGGAAGGGAAGGGAAGGGAAGGGAAGGGGCAGGGATGGATGCGGGCAGGCGGGTCAGACCGCGCTCTGCTCGGCGCGCCCCGGGGCCGCAGCCGCCCGCCCGCCCGCCCGCCAGCCTGAGGAGGAGAGGCGGCCCGCGGGCTCCCTGCGGCTTACTCCGGCGTAAACGCTCCTCCGGCGGGTTTGATTGGCAAGCGGTGTCCCCGCGGCGGCTGCGCGTGGGGGGAGCGGGCCTTTGCATGGGGTGCGTCCCGACGTGACTTTGTGGATTCCGTGTCTGGGCTGTTTCCGGGGCTTGTGATCGCTTATCTCCCGGTAGATCCCTCAAGCCTCGCTTCTCCCGGGAAGGGCGGAGGGCGTGAGCCGCGCTCGGCTGACGGGGCGGCCCACGGGCGGGGAAGGCCCTGCTTCGCGGCTGCCTCCGATTCTAGCCAAACGCGGCATCTCTCCGTGCAGCTGTCG